GTTAAGGAGCGGTCCAACAATAGCAAAATTGGTATCTCTCAGTTGAGAGTAAAGTTTATCGGACGAGTCCAGTATTATTTTCCGCTTTTTGGCTTGTACAGGTGCTGCTCCGACTGTTTTCGAGGACCCTTGAGGGGCTTGAGGAGCGGACCCCACAATAGATGAATCCACATCGGCTTGATTGTGTTGAATACCTACCGCTTCGTCAATCAACCCCTCGTATGTCAATTGCGTCAGTAAAGGGGTCGCGTAATCAATTTCGCGATCGATAATAATGAGGCTTTCGACCGTGTTACTTGGGGAGAGTCCAAGTTTATTGCTTTCATTGGAATCTTCGCCGGCGATCAATTCTTGTCGCATTCGTAAAAGGAGATCGGCAAGTCTTTTCGCATTATCACCCTGCCCAGTCATTCTAGGGAATAGGCCATGTTTTTGTTGTATGAGCATCAAAGCACGTGCGAGGAGAAATGTCGGCGTTGGGTCTTTTCGTAGATATAAATCTTCGAATGATTCGTCCAATTCCAAAGACAAGAGGTCCTTTTCCAGCGGAAGAAAATAGAGAGGAAATTCGGCAATACTGGTATCACCCAGTACGCCAGCTTCTTCAAGAATCTTTTCTGATACTAATGTTCTTCGTGGGACCCAAAATATGGAAAATTCATGTCCTGTCTGGCTCTCTCGCTGCATGCGCTTGATATGATCTGAGACTGTCAGCACGTTCTGATAGCATTAAACACAAATTGAAATCGGAGATATGCTTATGATCGTGTTGTTCAAATATATGAGAATTATTCATGTAGGGATCAAGACTGACCGAATAGAGTTGGAGAAATACAGCTATAAGGTCTACTTTTGAGATCCCATCAAAGGTACAAGAAAAGAAGAAGCATGAAGAGTGACAGGAAAGACCAAGTACTTACCAGCTATTGATTGAGCATGTTTCGCACTCTCTCCCCTAGCAATGAACACGACATTCTGCTGGCTAACATCTGCATTGCCATTCTCTAAGAAGAAGACCTTATCGACACCGTAATCTTGAAGAGTCGAGAACTTGACAATTACGCCAAGTGGACCAGCCAAACTCTGTTCAAGTACGAGATTCTTCTTTCCGCGAACCTGCGAGGGTTAATATGTCAGCTGCAACCTCGAGCAGCATGGGAGACGGTGAGGCCTTACTTACACCCTCTAATAAGTATAATAAATCCTTCCTCGCTTTATCTTTAATCTGATCTGTATCAAACCCAGCATGAGGAGCCATGATTAGCTCTACATGCGGGCTGAATGATCACGTATATGATGCAAATGACGAGGAAAGGAAAGTGCAGGATAAGCAAGCTGTAGCTGTATCGGTTTCCCAAGGTTCCCGTACGTACAGACCGTACTTGAAAGCTTCCAAGGTTCCATCATTTATTAGCTCCAAGCTTCATCGGAGCTTTTTGCCAGATTTCACCGATCGAATGAGGCAACGCAACTCCCCGCACCAGCAAACTGCAAGCGAATTCTATGCCACTACAGTTACCGTACTCAGCCTCGCCATGGTGCATAAAACAAAAAATTCGAGGCACCCCAGATGACTCAGAATCAAAGAAATTGACCCTCTCAACCTTATCAAAACTCCATATAGATATGAGAAAGTGAATGAAGGTCTTTCAAACTCAATTACTTAGATCTGCGAGATCGTCACGACTTTCACGACTTCCACAACTTCCTCAACTTTTAAGAATTCCCAATTCGCGTTCGGCTTGGGCCCCAGCAACCCCCGCTCTCTCAAAAGCAGAAAGAAAACAATACTACGAAGAATTAAACATGGCGAAAGGACCAAAGTTTGAGTTAAAGACTCCCAAGGGGACGAAGGATTGTAGGTAACCCCATATATCTCCGTCACATTGCTATACACAATTGCGTCCCTATCTCTAATCATCACCGACATGTGACATGATACTTATTTCAATAGGGCAAGGGAAGGATATGGTCATTAGGGACAAAATCTTTTCGACCATCACAGAAGCCTTCAAGCGCCATGGAGCGGTCACCATCGATACCCCGGTTTTCGAGTTAAAGGATATTCTCGCAGGAAAATATGGCGAAGACAGCAAACTCATCTACGACTTGGCTGACCAAGGTGGTGAGATCTGCTCACTCAGATATGATCTGACAGTACCATTCGCAAGATGGTTGGCCATGAATGGAAGCGTTCAAAGTATCAAGAGATATCACATTGCAAAAGTCTACAGACGAGATCAGCCAGCAATGACTAAAGGCCGTATGAGAGAATTCTACCAATGCGATTTTGATATCGCTGGTGTCTATGATCCTATGTTGCCTGATGCTGAGATCATCAGGGTTGCAACTGAAGTATTTGAGGGTCTTGGCTGGAAGGGACGATATACCATCAAACTCAACCACAGAAAAATATTAGACGGAATTTTCGAAGTTTGTGGAGTTCCAGAGGACAAGATTCGCACAATCTCCTCAGCAGTTGATAAGCTCGATAAACTACCTTGGGAAGATGTGCGCAAGGAGATGACAGAAGAAAAGGGTTTGGCAGAAGATGTTGCAGACAGAATTGGAGAGTATGTCGTACAGAAAGGCCAGAAAGACCTCCTCAGCAAATTACAAGCTGATGAGAAGTTGATGGCCAATGCTTCTATGAAGGCTGGCTTGGAAGATATGGATCTCCTGTTCGGTTATCTCGAGGCATTCAAATGTTTAGAGAATGTTTCATTTGATTTGAGTTTAGCAAGAGGACTTGATTATTACACAGGAATCATTTATGAGGTTGTTACAGAAGGGTCTGCTCCTCTTGTGAGCACGTCTGCTGCCACTGCTGCCCCGGCAAAATCTTCCAAGAAACCTAAGAAAGTGGCCGATGCTGATGAGGATCGCTCATCAGATCCTAGCGTCGGTGTTGGAAGTGTCGCAGCTGGTGGACGTTACGACAACCTTGTTGGTATGTTTGCTGGAAAAGGAAAGCAGATTCCTTGCGTCGGTATTTCGTTCGGTGTAGATAGAATTTTCTCTATAACTAAAGCTAGAATGGAGGAAGAGAAAACAGCAGAGCAAGTGCGTAACAACGACGTAGACTGCTTTGTCATGGCATTTGGAGGAAAGGGTTTCACAGGGCTACTGAAAGAACGAATGTCAATTTGCTCCACTCTTTGGGAGGCTGGTATCAAGGTAAGTCAAAACTTCTTTTAAGTTCCTGAGGAGCCTTGTGTGTACTAACAAGTTCCCTAGGCGGAGTTCTTATACAAAGTCAAACCAAAGTTGCCAAATCAGTTTAAGGCTGCCGAAGTTAATGGTGTACCTTTCAGCGTCATCCTCGGCGAGGATGAAATTGCTCAAGGCAAAGTTAAGATTAAGGAGAACGGTCTCAGGGATGGCCATCCAGAGAAGGACGGTGTTATGGTCAATCTTGATGCACTAGTTTCCGAAGTCAAGCAACGATTGAAGAGAAAGGCTGACATCGATAACATGACACGAAAAGCTGATGGTCTGAGGGTTGTTGGAGGCATTAAAGATGATAAAGCTAAGATTGAGGCAATCCCTGCAGAAGCGTCTACCTCTGAGGCATCGGCAAAGAATCCTACAGAGCCTGCACCATCAGCAGAGAGTGTCGAGCCTGCCTCAGAGACTGAGAAGCCTGCAGAAGAAAGTCCGTTATCTCAAGAAGCTATAAGTGCTGTTCCTGCTTCTTAAAGAAAAAAATCAAAATTCCTTGAAACAATTTACATGTACATATTTGCAGCGCAAAAGCATAGGGTGTGTGAGACACAATGCACTAATGACTTATTCATGAGATCATGATTTCATCTAATATATCCATTCTTTAATATCCACTGGGATGATTCAAGCATCGATGACCATGATCTCTCAAGATCCGTAGGATTCAACGGCAGTTTTCTAGTGACATGAGATATTAGATGGTTGTTCGGATATTTTGCGAAACGACGTCGGTGTTTGAAATTCCAGGAGCGGAGGGTCTAGAGGTGAATAGAATGGCTAGTAGATTGAGATCGGGCTAGAACAAAAAGTATTAGATGAAAGTATATCAGATCGCACCTTTCTATGATTTACGACCAGCCTTGTAATCAAAAGTAAAGGAAAATGGCGCAGCCTAGTCTGATGACTTTTCGTAAGTAGAGTCTGTGCTATTCAGGGGTGAAGCACAAGGGCCACAACATCTTGTAAATATATCAGTGCGTTTGGTTTCGAAACGAATTTTTGACCACACCTCACTCACTCACAGACGTCCAATGTGGTGGATCACTCCTAAAATATTTTTGGACGAACCTATCATTCCTCTAAATCATCTTATCACGCGTGGGGACAGCCTCTCAGATCTACACTAGAGTATGATGATACTTGATGGTCGAACAAGTGAAGGCTGTGAGTAGTGATGGTGATAGTGAGTAGTGAGTAGTGAGTACTGGTGTACTTAGTAGTAAGTAGTCGGTAGTGAGGTGAAGAAATAGTTACCCGCAAGGTCTTGGGTACAAAGGTTACTTACTTCTATCCTCTAATGTCATATTAATAAGACTAGAGACTACCTAGGTATCTAAAGTTCTATTTCATTCTTTGCTTCCTTCGCATCTCATTTGTCCTATGATACCATTTTGTTCTGTGTTGTGTTGATGTCTCGCGTCTAATGTATTAATTTTCATCCAATATTTCTGATATAAACAAACCACGCCGAATACCTGGGTGTCAATAAATTACCCAGGATAGAAACCACATCAATTTAGAATCTTCTAAATACTCTGTCTGCTCATATCATTGCCCACCCAAATATCTGGGTTGATACTGAGCGTACCGATCTGCAATATCCCAGTGACTACCGACGTTCTGGGTTATGATACGGGAGCTTGCATGACGGGTACCAAGTGTTTACCGTCCGAAATCAATATCGTCTCTGCAAACGGAGGCAAGACATTGGAAAGATATATTGTTGTAGTAACAACTACGGCATAGGCATCTCCACTCAAGTATTTCTGAAAAGCATGGGAGAGATGATCCATCTCAAATTACAGCCAGTGGAAGGGAATTCCACAACCTCAACTCGTTCCATAACATCAACATCTTCATCAATAAAATCTACAACCAAGAAGCAAAGGCCGAAATCGATAAGATCAATTTGGAGCAGACTGGTGTTCCCTTATACCTTGGATGATTGGAAGGTCATTATGGATGAAGTCAAGAAGCTATACTTGACAAGACAATACGAACAGTGTGCTGCGCAATGTACAAAGGTTCTCAATAGCATCACAGACCCAGTATGTCAAGCCATTAATGCGCCATGTAATCGTGATGCTAACATAGATTCACAGTATCGTGTTCATCCTCTTCATTCACTCTTCTTATCCTTTTATTGTGCCACCTGTTTGGAAATAACAGCATCAGAGCTTACCAACAACTCTCCCGAAAAGCTTCTACTTCTCCGAGATTCTTTGTCGTACTTCCAGAAAGCAGAAGAATACATCACATACGCAGATATTCCTATCCAAAACAATGACTTGTCGCCAAGCAATCGGTCATCTTCGACATCATCCACATCCAGTGCTCGTTCTTCTGTGGACTCCGTATTTTCTTCAACATCATTCCCTTCTACCATAGACAGACTCTCACCTGCTTTCTCGTCTTACTCTTTTGAGAGTTGTGACGATGACAAGACTCCCAGACACAGCCGTACATTTTCCGAATCATCGATGGCATCGACACAATCTACGCAATCAACAGACACTACTACTACTCCAAATAGGCCCGCACCACTTCGCATAAAAAAGAAAGTTTCTTTCTCTCCAGCATTGCCCACACTTATATCTGACCAAAGCCTTGACAACGACTCAAGCACTTTCGAAACTATCCCCCGTCCCATTCCATCTCCAATCACTCCCTCTCGACCTATAATCTCCTCCAAATACCAATCGCCATCCCCGGACTACCCCTCTCACAACACACATCTCACAAGCTATAATCTCAACCTCTCATCAATAACGACACAACTTACCTATCACATAACACACATCAGCAATCTCATCGATAATATACAAAACATACGCAAATCTCGACGCAGTAATCAACCCTCATTTGCCCCTTCATTATTCAATTCTCCAGATGGTCTTAGTAATGAGGATAGAGCGGAAATGGAACGACAAGACATCCGAGCAAGAATCGAGAAAATGAGGAGTGGAGGTTGGGAAAAAAAGAGGTGGGATGGAAGTAGATATGCGGCTTTGAGGCAGGAAGTCGATAATGAATTGAATGGTTGGATATGATATTATGTTTTTATTCTTTGGCTTGGTTTGGCTTCTCTATAATGTGTTATTTGACTTGATGATGTGAGTGGTATTTAAAATGATATGGCTGGTGCTATATTGTTACACTATACCATACCCTCTGTATGTGATGATTTTGGGATCTTTTGGGGCCTTTTTGCTTGAGAAGGCCGGGATATTGGTGATGGGTTATGTATGTATTTATAGTAAATGTTAATACCCAATGAAACTTTTATCTTCTAGCCAGTATGATTTCATCGTTCAAATCAAATCTGCTATGCATCATGGATGGTTCCTTCACCTAATGGCTTCTAGTGATGTGGAGGCTGGGGGCTTCAAGTCTGCAGAACGATATGTTTGGTGTGCCAATGAATCATCAAGTCATTGACTACCTAGGTATGTTTTGGAATCCACGTTGCAACGGCATATGATTTATATCATTGCTATTAGTGAATTATTAGATAGGAGTTCTCTGTGTAGGTACTTAGAGGTTTGAACTCATTCGCCGAAGCATCTGGTTGTGGTCTAGGATCGGATCATGCACTGGAAGATTAATGGACGGCAGTATGTATCAATGCGAATAATATATGCACCCCTTAACCTGCCTTCTTTCCTTTTGATTGTAGATCTCTTCATTCCCGGCTCGCTCACTGCTCATCGCGTTACTGTGAAGATGCTGCTCTCTTTCCCTCTTTTTAGACAATTGTCTAGCATATGGCAAAATGTACTAGGTCATCACCCCCTCGGTTGGCTCAAGTGATCCGCAGAGTTGGGGAAGCATCTCATATGATCAATACACAGTCTGCAGCCCTTGGTAGACATTCAATTCTTCTGTGCAAGGTATTATATCCTGATGTGCCCGAGAAATAGACGTTTTTCTATTCTCCTCCCAGGAACAGGATTTCTTAGCCTGATTTCCCCACAGCTGTGAATGATGATACGCAATTAGTAGTTATAATAACTCCGTATCTGCATATTCTCTGGCTGAAACTCTCCTTAGAATCCCGTTTCACGAGAAATTTGGTATATACAACTCCTCCTGAAAGAGTCTGTAACCTCCTGAGCTCGCGCCAACAGGAGTTAGAGTATTATCTTCCAGGCAGCGTTGAGCTTCTACTCACCCTCCAAGACGATATTCCATCTAGTCACACATTTATACTCCGTTCTCATAGAAGTGTTCCTTATTCCTGCAGGCCAATTCTAGTTTTGAAGAGTCCAGTAAACCTTACCATATCCCACATGCTTTCATTATCCTTTCACCTCCTGCTTCGTCATTGCCAACCAACTCCTAGTCAAATAACACACATGTCTCGCCGCCAGTGCCCTAGCATCATCATTACTTCAGAAAATCGTAACTCTGAAGCCTTCATGATGCAATACTCAAAGTCTTGTACGAGTGATAGGGATTCTGCATAGGATTCAGACTATAAAAAGCCATCTCAAATAATCACCCTAATGTTTTGGAAATGATCGACGTTTGTCATGGAATCTCTATACGCGACCTACTTTCTTCCGGAGCCCGATGTAGAGGGGCAAGGTCAATTCGGCAATCTGATGATACTTCACACCTCATCGCGCGCGCGGTGCGACGACTCTCCCTATTGGTGATAGCAGGAATATAGTGGATAGCATCATGTCGAATTGTAGAGTGGCGTAACCTCATTGGAGAATTGTTGTTACGATTCACAGACAGAGCCTCGAGAGCTTGGAGTTGGGGTCTCTTCTGGACCTGCCCATTTAGCCACCATGTGGTGACGATCAATTGCAGACAACAAATCCTTCGATGCATGCAGTAGTCCTCACAACATAAGCTTACTTCATCACAGCCTTACCATTCTGACAAATCTAGTGGGTCATGTTTTTGAAATCTGAGTGCGGCGCGGCAAGTCTAAAATCTTACATAAACAACACAGGACAGGCCAATTGATCGCGGTGTGGTAGCGATGGAGTTGTGATAGAAGCTTTGGCCAGGCCGTTCATATCAAGCAAAATCCAACGACGATTCAACGGTACTGTTGGCCAAAGGGCTTGGCGACAATGAGAATCACCGCCACTTTCATTCGCTGCACCTGTATCTGTGCACGTTTCATGACCCAAGAAGGACGTAGATTGTTGACTCTCACAATAAGAATCTTATCAAGCCGAGCAAGCCTAGTCGAGGACCCGGAAGTCCCCCACAGCTTATGCATGTGAGTTACTAGCCATGATGGTTGTTGTTGAGAATGAATACATTCAATAATCTGACCGTTGGGATAAGCGGCTCTTGCATGAGGCGCCATGGATTGGAACCTGCAATCTGCATGATATAACGTCAATCACACGGTGATGTTGAGCAACGTGCATTCGTTGTCATACGAGCTTGTTGTAAACCAAGACCGAGCCGCTCCTATATAGCTCGGAAGGTCCTCAGTGGGAATCGTACTATTGCCAGTCACACCTTTGTTCACTTTCTCTTTTTTTGCTTTTACACGACGTCAACGTACTGAAAATACCGTTTCTCAATCTACATTTCCTCTTCTCCTAAATATGGCTGAAACAATCAAGCCACTCTTGCTGGTATGCAGCAATCCCGTGTCTGGACATTTCGCACCATGCAAGATCATAGCCAAAGTTCTCATAGACAGAGGTTACGAAGTAACCATTCTAACCGGTTCAAAATTCGGTCCAGGGATTGAAGCAATCGGCGCCACATTTGTTCCTCTTGAAGGCTATTCAAATTTCGACGATTCTCCCAGCGGGATAGCGGAGAAATGGCCGATTCGAGAAACACTTCAGGGACCAGCACAAATGCTTTTCGATATGGAACATTTTTTTCTTAATGCCATGCCCTCACAATTCCAATCCGTCCAAAAAGCTCTGAAGCTCATGACGGATAAAGATCCAGGAAGACCAATTTTTATCATCCAGGACATTATCTTCACCGGTGTCTTCCCACTATTAATGGGAGCCCCAGGTATTAAGCCCACAGCAGTCATCTCCTTGGGAATCGCACCCATAGTACTATCAAGTCCAGATGTACCACCCATAGGATCGGGGCTTTCCCAAGATAGTTCGCCCGAAGGACGCGAGCGTAATCAAGCCATGCATGAGCATATGCAAAACGGACCATTCCTCCACATCACCCAGCTTTTCCACCACCAGTTCGAGGTTTGCGGCGCCAAAAATCCAGGTTTATTTTTCCTGGATGCGCCATATCTTCTTCCTGATAGAGTCATTCAACTCTGTACGCGTAGTGTAGAATACCCTCGGACTGATCTGCCCAAGACGTTGGTTTTCTCTGGTGGTTTACCAAAAGGCCATAGAGATGTGGTTAATACCACGCATACTAGCTGGTGGGATGAAGTCACTACGAATGCATCTAAAAAACGAATTGTGTTCGTTAGTCAAGGAACCGTGGCACTCAATTACGGAGATCTGGTTATACCCACCATCAAAGCATTTGCAGATCACGACAACACTATCGTTATTGCCGCACTAGGTGTCAAAGGAGCTTCATTACCAGACTCGGTAACAATACCCAAAAATGCTTATATAGAGGATTTCATTCCCTTCGATGATATTCTTCCCTACTGTGATGTATTTATTACGAATGGAGGATATGGAGGGTTCCAACATGGTTTGAGTAATGGAGTTCCGATGGTGATGGGTGGTGATACGGAGGATAAACCGGAAAATTGCGCGAGATGTGAATGGATTGGTGTTGGTGTGAATTTGAAGACTGCGAGACCCGATGCAGATTTTTTGAGAGGGGAGGTGGAGAAAGTGCTTGCGGATGAAAATTACAAGAAGAAAGTTGAAGAAATTAAGAAGGAGATGGAGAGTATGGATCCAATTGGCATCATTGAGACGCAAATTAAGGAATTGGTTAAAGAGAAGAGTGCGTAGATAATTTGAATTAATGGGGTATTTTTATGGGATAGAATGGATAGATACGCCGTTGCCCAACTCTCGATAGATAGCCAGGTATCAATATAAAGCACGAAGAAGAAATAATACATTACCCAATTAATCATAATAACTCCTTTCATCTGTGATCCTTACTCTCTCTTTCAAATCATCTCATCTCACCACCTTCACTTCATATCATCCTCTCCATATTCACTCTTCCAGACTACATCTTCCCCATGAATCTACCAACCGAAGTAGCAGTAGCGAATGCCCCACACCTCAACCATTTTGTTGCACATCTGTATAAGTATACATGCACCATTTATCTACACCATGTAAAAATTTTTACATGGTGTATACACGGCCTTTACACCATGTAAATTTTTTACATGGTGTAAATACGTTTACATGGTGTATACATTATTTACACATCATATATCGGTTACGCATATCACCACTAAGGCATCTGAAAAATACATAGCTACCACTATATCACTAGCAGCTTACTAGCGCCAAGTCATATCAAACACCACTAGGACTTCCTAAATAATCACTAGCAGACATTCCCACACTATCAACAACTGACTCGCATCAGATAGGTATGCAACAAAATTTTCCAAAACCTCGAGCGAATCACTACTCCGTGCTACACTATCTACCGAGAAACTTTTATTGGACGAGGAAGTGAATATCCGACATCTTGATCTTTTTGTTGCATATCTGAAGAAAAAATAGACGGCGGTATGTTGCTAGCTCATTGCTAGCTCACTGTCAGTTTGCACATGATTGCTAGCTCGGATCTCGAACAAAGCATAACATTATATCTACATCTACACCAAACCTTTTGAAAATCCGAGTGAATCCTTATTTACCTGATAATCAAAAGTACCGATAAAACATCATCAGACCAAAGCGGTGAATAATCAATCCCCAATACTTTTGTTGCACATCTGAAGAAAAAATAGACGGTGGTATGTTGCTAGCTCATTGCTAGCTGGCTATCAATATATGTTATGATTTACAAGCTTGAATTCCTAGCAAGAGCAAGAAAGCAGAATATCAGATATGCAATAATTCCCTCTCTCGAGAATCCGAGTGAATTGCTATTCAGCTAGTGATCCAAAGTATTGACAGAACATCTATTGGACGAAGGAGTGAATATCCAGCCCCAAATACTTTTGTTGCATATCTGTAGAATATATAGATACTAATTTATTGCTAGCTTTCTGCTAGCTTCCTACTAGCTTCCACACAACACACCTATCAACCACCCATCTTGCTAGCCTCAACCCTCTAGCGAAAGCAATACGCGTCAGACATGCAACAGAACTGTGTATACACTGATACGATAAATACGCGTGATATGATGCACAGTGAGATATCATCTGAACCTCTTAAGATAGGATGGAATGTATCATATTGGATCGATAGATCCCTGGGTAGTATACTTTTAGACTTCTAGACTGCTGGATAGAAATTCATACATATCGCAGCGCAGCGAACCGCATAGGATAAAATAGAATATGCAATCGAATCGACGGGATCTAGAGAAACCACAAGTGAAGTAATTTCTAATGCGAAGAAAGATAGGTAGGTATCTCACAAGTAAGTAATCACGCATATGTAGATTCTATGAGGTTGTAAGATTGAAGGCATAGAATAACAGAAAGCACACAACACACAGAAAACGACATGTTCACGAGGCGAACAGAAAGACAGATAGTAACGAATTGTGAAAGTGGATATCTAGATAGTTTCCCCAAGTTATGCTCCCAAATCCCTACACCATCCTATAAGAATTCTTTTACTCCTCCCTCTTCTCCCAATAGAAATCAAAATCAAATATCAACAATGAAAATACCCCCTACCCCCCAAACCCAAGCCCAAGCAGAAGTAGAAGCAGTAGAAGTAGCATCAAGCTCTGTCCATCTTCTCCACGCCCTAAAACTCCATCCTCATAATCCCCATTCCAAAACTCCATTCCTATTCCCACCTCTAAAAAAAAGACCCATCAAACCCCGTTCCCCTTTCCATCTCCCCACCCCTCCCTACCCATCCCTCCCCCACACCCCTAAAAACAACAACAACAACAATTCAAACACTCATAAACACACAACCCCGCACAAATCCCCACACACAAATCACAAATCGTCCCTCCGCCTCTCATACGCAGATTTTTATTCCCCTCGTTCTCCTCCTCCTCCTCCCCATCCTCCTCCTCTTCCATCGGACCATTCAAGAACCCTTTCTCTCCCCCCTTCCTATCCTCTCTCTTCCCACTCATAATAAGATCCACACGCGATTGCAACGACAACTGCGTGATTGGAGGCGATGCCGGTGCAGGATATTGCATAGCCATACCCGAAGAGAGTGGACGCTGTATATCTTATTAGTTCTTCCTTCCCTCTCAAAGCTACACGAAGATAAAATATAAAATAAAACTAACAGGTTGTTCCCACACGCTCTCCTCAAATCTCGGAGTCGCTTTAATGACCCTCCCAGGTGTGTAACACTGCCCTGGTAACTGAGGAAAGAGATTCGAATCCATATCTGCCTCTTTATATCTCTCACTTAAATCTTAATGCTTAAAGATATCCTCGTAGAACAAATCTCCCAAAAATTCTTCCCTCTGTTTTCCCGTTCCACAAAACAACAATAAAGTAGCCAAAAGCGAATGAGCACAAACAAAAAACCTAACTTCCTCCAAAAAAGTTCCAAACCCCTCCTTCATATATAGATTTATACACCACACACCCCCATATAAATATAGATATAAATCCAGGCCCTCCACATTAACGCCAGGAAGTCGACCCTGGCCCCTAACCGCCCGACCAACTTCTCAGCCACTCCCGCAAAGTTGGGGTAAGTGCTGTCTACCTACCTGAAGATGTCAAAACTTGCAGAATCCAGAATTATCTCTCCACGATGAATATTAATAGTATCAAACTTGCAATGAAGAGCGTTTGTAGATCCTGTCGAAAAAAGTGGTCGTGTATTAGTAACCACCCAAATGTTAGGGAGGCCTCGTTTAATTTTTGATTTCCCTCGACTTAATTAATGGTAAGATCTTATACCGATTTTTTTTTCTCGAGTGTATTGAAACATGATATCTCAATCTTTATATAAATTTCCCATCAAATGTAAAGTCGTTCATTTCTTTATTCAAAGTCAAAATTTCGAGAAGTGGCGGGTATCCAACCTGCTGTTTGCAGATCCAAAATGTTTGCGTACATACCAACTCTGGAACGCCTTCATGTACTCGTAGAAATGACAATTGCCAGCAAAGTAAATTTCTCAATGCGTATCACCAGCACTTGCTAGAACATATATACATCACATCACATCAAAAGTAATCAGATTCATAGCCATTTTATACAAAAGGAAGATATTGCAATTACAAATATTGAAACCCTTTAAATAGTGGAAAAATTGTTTTTATTCACAGCCCTATGCTGGACTAAACCTAGCCAAATTCACAAATCGATTGTATGTCATGCCGTGAAGACGCCAATTCATCCATACCAAAAACCTTCCGACCAATATGATGTGTGTCTATGTGTGACCGACGACAGAAATCCCATGTGCTAAACTCCACAAACACCTTGCATAATGTACTCTGCTCAAGTATGTACTCAAAAGTCATATACCAATCCCTCGTATGAACAGTTGCATCCATTTCCTCAACCCAAAATGGCGGGGTAACTTATTTCTTCGTAGTGCTATCACTATCATCCCCTGGTCTCGAACTTGTGCTTCCTACTACCGTTGGACTACTCTCGCCATCGTATAGAGGATCATAGTCTTTGTTTCCCGACCGCAAACCTGCACGTTTATTTCTTGGTGTTTCTGGTCTAGTGTTTTTATGAGCTTTTGCCAAAACCTCATCATCTTCCTCCCCTTCAGACTGAATTCCATCACTGCTTCCGCTCGGATCAGCATAACGACCGTCTCTTCCCTCAAGATCACTATCGTTGTCCTCATCTGGTATAAGCTCATGATCAGGCTTTTGATTCTTGATAAATGAGTCGATGATGTAATACTGAGTTGCATTCATGATGACTGGGAAGATCAACATGACGAATATCACTTGTAATGCTTCATCACCCTCTGTCCATCTCAGTGCCCAGTCTCCAATTCGTGAAATCCAAGGAAGGACAAGGAAGATGATGAGCACGCATATTTTCATACCCATCAAACCGATGAAATAGATTATAGATTGTTTGAACCACCAGAATGCTTTTGGTGGGTGGCCATAATTGCCTGATTCGATCGACTCGGGAGGATTACCAAATGGTGTCATAACAAAAAGCGAGGTAAGTATTCGAAGGAGAAATATGAGGATCGGAATGCCGATGGTTGTCTATAGTCAAATATTAGCATATATTGACGTATCGTATCATAGACGAATATACTTACATCAATAGCCAAGTTCAGTAAATAGAAGCTGCAAGGATTTGGCTTATACTGCCCCGAATCATCCACCATTCTTTTCGCGACATTGCTGGCATCCAATTTGATACTGAATTGTCCACTCGATAACATGCTCATCAACAAATTTGCGATATGAACCAACACACTCCCAACCACTTGTTTCGAAACATCAAAGAACCAAATTTTCATAGGTCTTTGGGGTCTCTCTCTCCATCTTTTGTATACTAATGCCATCACAGCCAATAGACCTAGCGAACCCTGAACCAATATGGCAAAATTCCCAAGAAGTTGGCATTCTCCATTGTCTGAATCTGGGGAATCTTCATCTTTTGCGGTGGCGAGCATTGTCGCTGTTGTAGATGTGGGATTTACGAGATCGAGTAACAACGCCGAAGAAGTTGCTATCGCAGAGGAAATAATGGAAGTGGGAGAGACATCGTTGAGGAGAGTTGAAGTTGATGTGGGCTCCAAGCCCGGTGGCGGTAGCATTAGCTGTCTTGTACGACGACAGTCGATATTCTTGAACGAGGATGGGATATGAACGGTTTGCGGTGATATGTAAAATTAACAAGTGATCGTCTGCGGAACCCTGGTCGTATTCTCGAATTGAAAATGGAATCAATATCGACAGTTGAATGTCGTGATGTTTGTAATGCCCGCAAACAGGGACTCTCTTAAGGTTATCTTTAGAGATGTTAATAAGTGCGCAATGACCTCACTAGGCGAAGTGGATTATATGGGAATGGCAATTTATTATTGATTGATGAATAATAGAAACAATCAACAATAACATACAACAAAGACTGATGCGATATATGTGAAAAGTATAAGACAATATGAAAGCCAAAATGTATGCAACAACACAAGACAAGACCACACAACTCGACACAACACAACACAATAATAAAGATCTGAAATCAAGGTTCTTCTTTTCCAGCTGATGATCAAGTGGCGGCTATGTTGAAGAGGATGTGAGGCGATGTGAGGCTTGGATATTCTAGGCTAGTACGAGTAGAGCATTCCAGATTTTCATCCTGTGACTCTGACTCTGAGCACAATTTATTCTGCTTATCCCGGTTGGATATCAAATCAAGCCTTTTGCTACGCTCGTAACCATAAAATTAGAGTTTCATATGTCTCAAATATAGTATTTCTTCTCCACACGAATGGCTAAACTTTGCACTTTATTCAATACTTTATTATCGCTTGTTGTAACTTGTCTGTGGTCTATGTCTATGAGATGAGATGATGAGAGGGGAAATGGCATTGGATTTCCAAATTTCAAAATACCCCTTTTACCTCGATGTTCCTACATTGGATCCAACCATGGAGTACAATGGATGAGGAGCCGGCTTATATTGAAATGATGTGAAACATAAGATGCATGGTTCCTTGTCTCAAATACCAGGAGGTTCTTCTCAGCAAGGAGTCAAACGGTCGAATAGCCGCATTGGTGAAACTGTTTGATCCGATTTTGAAAGGTTGTCGGTTAAACGGAAACAAAACTTGTGACTTGGGAGATGTCAGATTGGAGATGGGGTTCTCATATCACCAACGAATGAATAGAGTTACGAGAATGGATTTGGCATTTGAAGATGGGATTGCCATATCAGCAATGAATGAATGAATGGAAAGCGAGATATCCAATCTGCACAACATCTACTACATACCGTATACAGAACACAACAAAATCTCAATAGTATTGAACTTCACACATCACAGAGCACAAGGAGCTGTCACTCACAACACACAAGTTCCCATTTCAATAAAGTACGAACCTCTCATAACCCATCCCTCACCCATCAAATCATCAAAGCATCATCAAATCTCCATTCTAGACCGACCATCCATTGGTCCCTCCCTCCGTACACCTCCATACACCATACAACCATGACGAGCAGGTCTCCCATTGCCCATCGCGAAAACCCATTGCATGCATATCCAAACGCTCAAACAACCCATCCCATCACCGTCCTAAAGAGACCCATCCCGCGAACTCATCATCCACATCGCGATATACCGAACCCTCCTATCGCTCCTCCCCATATACAAATCGATTTACTTAGCACTTGGGCATTTCTGAGATACAAAGATTGATTAGCCTTCTATTCACATTCATCCATCCATCCATCTCCTCTCCCCTCCCCCTCCCCCTCCTCAATTCCTTACCTTTCCACAGCTGCAAACATAAGTATCCTTATCCGCGCCCTCTGGATACGCAACACCGCAGCTACACGCCAAACCGCCCTGGTTAACGAAGATTTGAAGACCTTGCATATTGTTCTTGACTTTCGACTTTGTGTGTGTGTGTGTGTGTGTGTGTGTTTCTTAAAAGGCAGGCAGGTAGATATTCGTAGAGTACAAAAGTTTTCGATATCAAGACCAGATGTGCAGCGCAGAAGAAAGACAGATAGATAGATATATAGATTTCTTCACAACAGAAGGATATGGTACGTAATACACAAATAAACACACTTCTCCGCGAAGAAGAAAACGCAACCACCAATAGCAACAAGAACAAGAAAGAGGGGCAAGCAATCATGCATCCAACCCTCCCTCCCCCTCCTAAACACATTCACCGAATCTCTCTCATCCAATCTCACCCCCCTCCCTCCCTCGAGCATCCCCACGTAACATAAACATAAATAACACATCCCTTTCTCCCCCATCTATACCCTATCTATCTACCCAGCAGACATCCCTCAGCCAATCACCACACCCCTCTTACCAAACCTCAGATTCTCAACTATGCCCCGCAAACCAACGGCAAGGAAGTCACCGTCTCCGTCGGGAGGCATATCATAATCTTGTGATAAGAATCTCAGATACGCACTACGAGGCCAACCAATCCCAACATCACACATTTTCCCTCATTTCATCCATCCACGCAATTTATGCTTATTCGTGCCTCGTGACCAAAGTTTTTAATGAATGCTCTTTATGCAAGTCAATCACTCATCCGACCGCCCGATATCCGATAGAAGCACGCACGAGCCGTTTAGCATTTGGTCTAGGCGGAATTTATTGCAACACAAAGCAATGTTGCATGAAAATGAGATTTCCACAGAGGAGTCTACGGAGCTCAGAGAGAGCCTTACTAGGCATTATTTCCCACATCTGTGTTGTAATCGAACTGAATGTTGTACAAACAAGGTAGAAGGACTAGGCAGACACCGTTGCAAGGCTATATGGAATGATTTTGAGGCAGTGAGTGTGTAAAATACGAATCAATAAGGCCCTAATGTAGCAATTTGGTATTCGAAGCAGATGGTAACATGTGCAACAATCATCCAAGAAAAAGGAGAATCAGCCTCGCGAGTTAAATGCCGCCCTGAATAGAAGAAAATTCACAATCTCAGCAGCAGAAGCTCTCCCGTCCTCATTGCATATCGAAATAGTTGCTCTCTTTCCACAGAAGTGTAGGAGAGGAGAATAGTAAGTTAAGCTGTAAAGGGAAAAAATCCATGTAAAAAGCGAGGGTTTTCCTGTCCCTTCAATAAATCAACAACACCCTCTAACGCCTGAAAACCAATCCCCGCACAAGAGCGAGGAAAGAGGTATTACGCCTTCCACCTGCCATCGCTGCACCCTTGATTCCACGATGATGTTCCAAATGTTCATAATTTCCCCCCTTTCCATGCATAGCAGTTGTAGTAGGAGATTTCTTCGTTGTAATTGGTGCAGATTGTGTTCGTCGTGTTTTCTTATTCCTAACATCCTTCGATGGCGAAACATTTCCAACCCTGGATGACGGGCCCATATACGCTGTAGACTCCATATTAGATACAGTGTTTGGGCGAGTTAGGGGCCCGTCAGATTGTTATTCGATGTTGTTCGCGGTTTTGAGCTGTTCTAAACTCGCTTTGCGAGCAGCGTATGAATCCGATTGATTTGAGTTGGCACGCATCTTTTCCATTTTCTCGGGTTGATGGTATAGAACTGTTTACCCAAGTGTTAGTACAGGAAGATTCGATTGGAATAGAGACGCGGAGGGCAGACGTACCGACTAGGTATCGATTTTGGAAATTGAACCCATTCAATTTATCGCAAGCAGTCTTGGAATCCGTTACGTCTTCGTAGACAACAAATGCCGTACCTTTCGTGTTGGTAGCAATGCCTTGACGAATTTGTCTGGCGCATTGTCAGTAAGTTCTCAATGATCGGGCAGGTTCATCTCAATAGAGATTCTTGATGTGAGTCTCGCCTGAGATTGCTGCCTCTCTTCCAATATACATACCGGATCGCACCGAATTTGCCAAACAGATCAAAAAGTTCTTCTGGCGTTACGTTGTAGCTATCATTCCAAATATCATCAGCCCTATGCACCTCAATCTGATTTCCATGTACACCAAATCCACAACCCCATCTCCAAGTCTCCACATCTGCTCTTTCTTGCATCAATCCACATACCTTAGATTCTTGACGAACAAAGCTCTACAATCAGCACATATGTTAGCTATGGATTCTCGATTCTAGCATTGAAGAGCCGGCTCACGCGACCAAATACAGGTACAATGAACAATAATCCTAGAGAGACATACCGATTAACTTCAGGAGCAAGTTTACCACCTCGATTCATAGCTTGGCTACAAATTCTCTTCTCTCAAACGTTACTTCCGCTTGTCAATATCTAGTATTATCTTGATTATTGGAGTTAGGTTGATGCGAAAAAAAAGGTCGTAGTATGGTGTATGTAACCGGAGGGGCGCACAGGTGGAAGCAAGCCTTCTTTTGTTCGTTGAAGGCTCAGGATTCGCGCTAGATTATATCGAGACTAGCGGCACTACTGCCTTAGAAATTTTTGGAGTCGGTGAGATCTTGATAAGATTAGATCTTGTTAATACCTGCTCGGTAGGTTGGTAGGTACGATTTAGAAATTGATAAGGATTAAAAGCTTTGAACTTCACAAAGCTGGAATTGTTCTACGTATTTATTGAAGAAATGAAAGAGAAGGATCAGATCAGTTCCTCTTTTCGTTGGCTATCTCTATGGCCTTCGAATAACCTTTCGTATAGCTATTGGTTAGGCCATCCGCCACATTGCTTGACTTGCTCTGAAAGGGTATTGACTTTGCACCGACATCATTCACATTCACAGCCTTGAAGTTAGGTAGTAACAATTTATTTGTTTGCATCTACTTAGGTAGTACTGACGATCCTCATGTTCTATGTGTTACACCTGCAACACATATCTTCATCTCTGCGTGTATGTTGCCGATAGACTTCGAATATACAGTGAAGTGTTATCAATGTCGCCTCTCTCGACAATCGAGTATAAGTTTGCCCCTTAAGTTGTCGCCCCTTACCAAGGATAGCCCTTTTATTCACATGGTCTGTGACGGCATCAATTGCCTTCAGATGTGGAGATTTCACTCAGCCTGAGCTTTATACTCAAATTCTCATATCGTGAATACAAGGAACGTAGCACCGCATGTACCCACGCAAAGAACCTGCCCGGTGTGCCATGGGCCATTTCAAGCCAATATTTGATGTCACAAAACACGTTATGGTATGATCTAGAAGAAGATCAATTTTGGTACTACCTATGTATGCATTTACCATGTTATATATATTTCCTTGAAATCACCCTTCCCTTCTAAAGATCCATTCTTTTGATATCCACTTATGTGCAGTGATTTACCTTTATCAACTGTAACTTTAGTTCCCGTGATAGTGAATCGTCTCTCTCCAGGAACCCATCCATTCTCATCAGCCCATTCTTCTTCTACATCTCTCGTAAACGCAGTTACTCGTGAACAGGCATCTGAATCCCAAATGCCTTCTCGGTAACCCTTAGCTTCCCTGAGAGTATCAATCGCTTGACCTCTTAACTCTCTATTTCGGCAATGTGTTCCAACCATAAACATTGGAAGTATAACGCCAAAGTCAAAGTGATACTTCCCTCCTTGAATGATACGCGGCCGAAGTTTGGCTACATATTCCATTATTATACCAAACTCTTGAAAATATGCGTCCCATTCAATTGCGTTGACAATGAACACACTTGCTACTTGTATCATCATCATAGCCGCCTGTATTTTAGCAAGGCATGCAGCTAGAAATTCTCGAGAATCTTCGCTAGCACAAAGTCCTTTGTTTACTAATGGTGCTGCGATACTTTCCCATCGCAGAATTTCATCAAGATAGGTGGTACAATCCCGTCTAAGAGTCGGGTTAGTACTAGGTATGACCGCAACAGAGGTCCATGAACAGTTCTCATCTTTGAGATCTAGCCCTTCATCGTCGGCTGCATACACGATGGGTTCTTCGTCATTCTTCGGTCGTTCTTCGAGGATAGTTTTTCTCGCTGTCGCTATCCAATGAAAGTTTCTCCGCATTATAATCTGCCACCAGTCATGGCATTCTTTGATACTTGAGAATGAAGAAGGCATTGATAGCAACAAATGATTCAAATAACGAGTTCGTCGCTCGTGAAGCTTTGAAGATCGACGATCAATTACGCATAGTGCTTGAAGATCAAGATCTGAGAAGGCTCTGCATAGATCATCGTCAATTGTAGAATCTTGCTGACAGCTGAAGGGCGGTAGGCTTTTGGATTTCTTGTCGAGCATAATCTCATGGAGAAGATTTTCTCCACTGGCAGCATGAGAAGCCGCTGTTGCAAGATGTCCCTGTATACTTTCGATTGAATACACGAGTAGGCAAGCAATGAGTGCTTTGCGGGCATTGTAAGAGCCTGGGTTCAGAGCTTGTCTCATTCCGACGAGAGCTTTACCATACTGGTCGAGGCCATATTGACGGTGTAGAAATGCCTCTATACCACTCGCCGTGCGACCTTTACTTAACGCCCCGAGGGCAACCAGGGCTTGGCTAACGAAAGGTTCCGATTCGCTTGCCTGGGGAATCAGCCGCTCCCAGACTGATCGATTAAACAATCGCGCGATATCACCAGCCGATGTTTCACGGAAATATTGAAAATATTGAGAATCTTGTTCGTTTTCTAGGATAGGACCGATGTGTATATTGACAATGGGTGATCGTAATCGTGGGGGAGAGTCTACCATGAACATTCGATTCGTATGCTCCCGCGATGATCGTTTGACAGCATGTGATGGATACCCCTCGCATTGAATTCCAGTCTTCTTACATCTTTTGCAAGAAGGTTTCGTTTCCTGTTATTCGTTAACACGTATCTTGTGATAGAGTTGTGGAATTGCCCCTATACTTCCTGGGCAATCAATCGACAAAGTATTACATACATCGCATTTGACTCGGCGCACTCTAGAAATTGGGTATCAGCTCATGCTAGTATGGCATATAATTGTTTAATCTTGTAACATTGAGATAAGACTTGCATACTTGCATGTATAGCATCCCGTCTTGACCTTTTGGTGCTTCACCCGGGACCTCCTCGAAGCCTCACTTTCATAAGGAGCATTGTCTGCCTCCACGGTCGTAAGAAGTTTTGTATCATCCAATGGTGGAATTGTCATAAACTTTGAAAGTCGAAAAGGTTTCATGATTGCTGTTCTTGCATTGCAACATCATCATCATCATCATGGGCAACATATATCATTGTGTCCAGTGTAAGATCTCATACGAAGTATTTTAAGTGGTGTGCTTGTCGTTAAACAGCCTGAAATTCCTGGTGGGTCTTTTCTCAAATGGTGCTACTCGAACGGGCAGGTCAACAGGGTGGTAAGGACGAGTACGGGATCAATCGTTGTTTGTATCAATTGATGTATAAACAAGCAAGTCAATAAATCAATACAATGTGTTGAACTTGACTCGATTCATGGGATTCATGGAGAGTACTGGTACAATGCCGGAGAATGGAAGTGGAATGTGTCGTCTCTTGCCAAGGCCATTAAAATGCCTTGGTGTTTTCTAACGAACGCCGCCAAGATTTAGTAACTAGTACATACCAGGAGGTGCTCTTCATTCTATCATACTACAACATCAAACTCGTTGGCTAATTATAAGGATTTCCTCTCGCCATAGGATCAGCATCACATACAGTCTTGAGAACATGGTCCTCAGGTTCAAACTCTCTAGTTGTCTTCTCTTCATCAGTACCAATTCAGCGTTCTGATGATTTTCAGTCACAAAAACACCCTCAATTCGAGACTGTATGCTTCGCCAATAACATCTATCACTGCTGTTATGAGTGAGGTACAGAGTACAACCACAAGTCAGTGGAGTAATGTGCTTACAATCTCCTCATGTACCTAGTAAAGTAAGCAAAATCTGCTTCTTTTCTGTGATTAGTCACGAAACAAGATAGCACATTCCACAAATCTTGCTACTCAAATCACAACGGCTATCTGTGTCGAGGAAGAGATGGCCATATACAATTACACTTGTGACGTTGTATCTCTCACTCTTTTTGCATCTCTTTGGTTTCTTGAGAATCCAAAAAGACAAGAAACATGTGAAAGGGAGGCATACCGAGAGATCAATCTCCGAATTGCTTGCAGGAAGTTCCTTTGGCCCCTTTTCCCCAACATCACCCCTTTGGACAGATGGATAGACCTACTCTGTCTATATCACGACTACACCTGGAATATGAACCATGGTGTCTTTTTTAGCTACCGATTGCTTCACTTGAAAAATGAGATTCCTTGTGTGTTCGCTTTTGAGGTAGGTACAGAATTCATTTTTATATACCAACGAGTTACCTATAGTAAGTAGATAACAATGAATTGGATCTTTCAATAACTTGATGCCTACCATTACCATCAAGCTACTCCTCAAATTACATCTCATTGAAAATGGAGTTCCTCTCAGAGGGTGGCAATCCATTTCTTTCCTTGACCTCTCGTTATTGTTTTTGGACGGTTCCTTCTTATCAACCATTTGCCAATAAGATAACTATCGAATCAACCACCGAAGAAAAACTTGTTTATCGCGGAATGGAAAATACCGGCTGTCGCACTCACAACAATCTGGACAACAACAACACGATATCAAGGGTATTACGGACAATCAAACGTTGGATTTTTTCTAGAGAGAATATTGTACCTGCTCATGTGCGCAGATTGAAAGGTGTGCAAGAAGCCTGGCTCGAAACCACCGAAGTTTCTTTCGCACGATTTTCAGACATACCACCTGAGTTGCGGATTCTTGTATGGACGCTCTGCTGTTACATGCATGGACGAATTATCTTTTGTGAGAGGGGAATTAGTATTCGTAGTGTTTTATCTCAAAAATGCTCGCCCGAATCCTGGTATCATTACTGCTTGTGTGAAGTCAAGAGCCGCTATCTTGGAGTGCTACTACGCTTGGAAGCGGAACAAACCACCGTATATTTCAATCCAAGAGGCAATGACATTATGTACGAGCAAGTGAGATTTTGTCAGACCTCTATTGACACGTCTAGCGATAAACTGTCACAGTATTCCCATTTACAAAGGTTCCCGGAACAGTATAACTCGGGTCAGTAAGGAAAGTTATCGAAAGCTTTTCCAATCCCGTGGTGCCACATATCCGAGAGAAATACTCGTAGTCATTGAGCCGTCTCCTTGGAAGTCGCTAAATTTGGTAGGATTTAAAGGCACAAAAGATTCATACTTGGAAGGGTCATGTGGCCATGGCATTATAGATTATTGCAAGTTTTTCCGATCCATCAGTTTCAATTCTATGTATGAAGCGACTGATAATGTTCGACGGTCTACGAGAGCGCACGAGAACGGTTGCCTACATTGTCTACATTGCATGAAGCCAGATGATTACTATTTTCCTCCCTACGACTTCCACGAATTCGAAGGATGCCGCAAACGCTACATAAAAGCAGATCGCGACTTCGAACAACAAGAAAGCTTCCCAAACGTACGATTTGTCCAAGAAATTTTTACTCCGGGCCTTCTGGTCTTCAGAAATAGTGAATTCAATCAATATCTGGTATGTTTACACTATTCTTCATTGTTTTCTCTTGCCTCCATCATTTAACTTATATATATATTAGTATCTGAATCCCAATCCTACCCAAGTAACTCATCTATTACACCAGAAGTAGCCTGGCAACATCACGTTTACGCAATTGGGCAGGCGTAACGAATCACGCACAAATACATTCCTAAGGATTCAAGCAAACGAGCTTGTTTGGCAATAGTCGTATGAAGTGGGAGCTGGAGGGGAATCTGGTCGTGAATAGGGTGCAACTTTCAGTTTCATCCCAAGGGCCTTAATTTGCTTCTAATTTTGCACAAACTGATGAGAAACTGCGAAAATCGACTCGGCGATATCTCTTGAAGTACTAGGTATTGTTCTAAGCACTTTGAGATTTGATGCAATGATTCATTACAGATTGAACGGTGAAAACCAGGGTCCTGATAACAAACAATAGAAGAATGGATTAGTTATAGATTCTGAATGTTAAACAGGTTCCCATCATTCCATGTATTCACCAGTGCATCATCTATTCACACCATCGCCAGTTAAACGTACTGCTTTCCACAGCTTCATGCATCATATCTAAATCCAGATACTACACTTCTCTTCCTTGTATCATGAGAAACTCTGCTATTCGATCTTGAAACTTGAGTAATCAGTACATCGTCTATTCGCTTCTGGAAGTCTCGTAGCGACATCAACGTGAAATGCAAAATCTATTTCTATCTCATCACTATTCTTTCTACAACCCACATCTCCATTTCCAGAACTCTCAAACCATCATCCTATATCATTAATCATCAATCATTACACAATAAACAAACTCCACAACCTCCCTCACAATCCCCCGCCCCAAACAAAAATTAACATCTCTCCAACCCCAACCCCGACCAACCCAGACCGTGAGAAATCTCTTCAACAACCAACTTCACCGGCCTATATCCCGACCTCAGGTGGCGATTCAACATTCAGGATATATGGATGTAGACTCATATCTCTATTCCCATTCTTCATCCCCTTTTTACTAATTTTTTCGCCCCCAAAACGAAACGTTTGAAGATTAAGAAGAATGCCGCGTAGTATCGCATCTAGCCTTTCGTCGTCATCTTCAACGTCGTCGCGGAGTAGGAGAGGTAAAGCTGCGAGCTCAGTGGGTTCGAGTAGGAGACAGAGAGGGTATAGAGGGGGCCATCAAAGTAGAGTACGTTTCAATTTTGTTTGTGTTGCATTGTGGATATTGTGTTAATGATGTTGTTAGAGCGCGAGACCAGCCCCTGTGGAAGAAAGTGAAGAGAATGTATATGAGGAGGATAGCGAAGATGAAGATGTGAATGAAGGGGGAGAGAATGAGGAAGATGAAGAAGGAGAAGAGAGTGAGGACGAGGAAGAAGAAGAAACGAAACCTTCCCCGGAAAAACATCCTGTAAGTATTTCTACCTCCTTTAAAATTGGGTCTTATTACTGGAATGTAAATCCTAATGATAAATGAAAGCCCCAACGTGCTAGTCCAAGAAGAAGAAGGAAAGGTACTTCCAGTGGCTCATCTGGACATTCAGCAGAATCCTCTCGAGGATCCCACGGCTCGTCGAGAAAGCACAAGAAGGGAAAGAGAAGGAAGCAAAGTAAGAAGAATGAAAACAGAAGCAAAAATAAAAGTAAAAATAGAGAAGGATCGGGGTTTTTGGGAAAGCTGAGGAGTGCATGGGCGAGAGTGACAGGGTCGCCTCGTAGAAAACGAACTGTTTGATGCATTGGAGATGATTGGAGGAATGAATGGAGGGTTGAAATTTGTCTTGTAAAATATTAGGTTAACAACTATACGACAGGGAGTTTGTGTGATGAGAGGGGATTAAGCGTTTGTATCTCAACATCCGGATATCCTCTATATCCGGTGACTTTATAAAATCCTCACTGCTACAAAAGAACAAACACCCACAGCCATGTCTATAAAGTATCCATCCTTCTTTGTCATGACCCGAGCTAAACAACCATTTGTCCATTCATCTGAGAGCAATCATGTCATCTCCAAAACACCTTCGCATTGGCGTATTCATTCCAGCTGGATGCCAGCTTCTTGATATGTCAGGTATCGACATTTTTTCCATGCTTTCACCAGAATACCTTTCAGCATGTGGGTTACCAGCCCCATTGGTCGCACTTGGGATTAGTTGTACGATATGCTATATATCTCTTCCGTCCACTGGGCCCGAAGTTGAATTGACAGCTAACGCTTTCCTTCGAATATCGAAAACTACAACTGACAATGAAGTGCAGCCAGGTATGTTGGATATCATGATGGTTCCGGGACCAGATCCTAGAATAGTATCGGATCAAGACACACGAACATTTTTGAAATCACACGCCGAGTGGAGGGGAGAGAATGGAGAGAAGGTTGATATCTTAAGCATCTGTACGGGAATTTTCTTAGTGGCACAGTGTGGAATTTTGAAAGGATTGAGTGCTAGTGGACCAAGAGCTCTTATTCCGCGATTGAAGAAGGAGTTTTCGGACACAAAATGGGTTGATGACAGGAGGTGGGTTGTGGATGGTAATATTTGGAGTAGTGGTAAGTTTATGATCGCACAGTATGTACGCGCAACTAACACGCAGATAGGTGGCATTACCAATGGGCTAGAGATGATTGCTGCATACATAAGGCAAAAGTTTCCTAGTCCAGCAGCAGAGGCAGTAATAGCAATGGCAGATGTTGGAGAGAAAGGTGTCTTTTATACAAATGGAAATACGAACGAAACGCTTTGGTGGTTATGGCAGATCTTGAAAGCAGTTGGTCTTGGTATTGGAAAGGGCAAAAAATCTCGATAGGGAAGACAGGAGTAGCATCATATTGTTTGTTGCTTGAGTGAAGCGTGTGACAAAACTCGAAGAGTTCCATGGTGTTGTACTATTTTGTCGAAACGACTTATCTGCAGCCAGATTCTCAGGTTGTCAGATTGTGTAAGAAGCATATAAAGATTGATTTTCCAGAGAATGTAACGGAGGAAGCCTTTTCTTCTTGTGGTTGATGTGGTTGATGTGCTTGATATGATTTTAACATACTCGTGACATATATAGAGTAGATGCAATATAGTATATACTCGAGTATCGAGGAGTGTCGAGGAGTATCGAGACTTCTCGAGACTTCTGTATTGGACCTTTAAAAATCTTACAGTGGAGAGCTATGAGAAAATAAACCTGGTGAACGTCAATTAACCGATCATCAACCAATCAAATTAAATCGACACACCAAGAGCTAACCCTCAAGGGGTAGTAGTTGTCACACAGTGGATCTCAAATCTCACTAGCGTAGACGGATAAGCTATCTTAGTGTGTTAGTGTGCCGCAGAATGAGAAAAAAAAAGTTGTCGGGTATCTTTTCTTCAAGAACTACCTTTTATCAAGACACCGCTCACCAATCTCTTCTTCTAAAATCTCTTCAACTCATCTCAAGATTCTTATTTACTGTTTGCTTTTTGAAACAGTTCTTTTTCATTCATATTAACATCAATTGAATCATCAATTCATAATTCCTTACAAGATGCCTCTCCTTCCAGGTAAGTCAACAGAAATCATCTCGTCTGCCTTGTTTTGGTCTTGCGAAAATATTCATCTAACTTTGCGCTACAGTCGCCATGTACGGCCTTGAGGTCCCAGCAGGAGATATTCTCATTCCTGCTGTTCCAGATTTCCCAGCTACCGTAAGTGTCACACTGTTTTCTACTACATTGATGTTGCTGTTGCTGTTGCTATTTCGGTCACACCTAGCAGGCTCCAATGGAAATTACAAACGTTAACAATTTCAATCTCTAGTTCCGCATTACCATGGCAGCAATCGACCCAACTGAACCTGCCGATGATGCTGAAGGTGTCAAGCCTAGATCAACCTTGAAGGTCATTCGTCAATCGAGTGCTGAGGATGAAGAAGATGACAGTGAAGATGATGATGAAGGTTCGGATGATTTATTACGTGCTTTGTTGGCAGATAATGACTCTGGATCAGATGAGGACAGCGACGACGACGAAGAAGCCAATGGAGGACCAAGCGACCCCTCCAAGTCCAAGAAGGCCCAAAAGCAAGCTGCTCTCAAGGAACTTCTTGCTTCCATCAGTAAAGACGATTCCGACGAAGAAATGGAGGACGCTTCCGACAAGAAGGTCGCCAAGAAAGGAAAGGCCAAGGCCACCGCCGAGGTCGAGGAGGAGAGCGAGGATGAGAGCGAGGATGGTGAAGGTATTGAGGTTGAGGAATATGTTCTCTGCACTCTTGACCCAGAAAATGTATGTGTCAAAGACCCCGCTTGTAATGAAATCACGCTGACCGTAATGTAGCACTATCAACAACCTCTCGACATCACCATTGGCGAGGACGAGACCGTTTTCTTCAAGGTCACTGGTACCCACACAATCTTCCTTACTGGTAACTACGTGATCCCAGATGACAACGGACACAACCATCACCACGAGGTTTATGACTCTGATGAGGAAGATGATGAGGACTATGACCTCTCTCCAGATGAGGATGAACTCGAACTCGAGATGGACTCGGATGAGAGCGATGAACTCGATGGTGCCCGCATTACCGAGGTCGAGTCCGAAGACGAGGAGGCCCCAAAACTTGTCAAGGCCGACAAGAAGGGCAAGAACAAGCGCTCTGCTGATGAAATCGAGGAGGCCGCATCCCTCGATGCCATTATCGCCAAGGCTGCTGACTCTGAGGAGCCAAAGCTTAGCAAGAAGCAACAAAAAAAGTTGAAGAAGAACAACGGCGAGGCTGTCCCAGCCAAGGCAGAGGAGGTCAAGAAGGATGCCGCTAAGGACGAGAAGAAGGTTCAATTCGCTAAGAATCTCGAGCAAGGACCAACTGGATCTGCCGCAGCTAAGGTAGACCCCAAGAAACCTGCATTGGGCGTCAAGACTGTCGACGGAGTAAAGATCGATGACAAGAAGCTTGGTTCCGGACCAGTCGCCAAGAAGGGTAACAGAGTTGGCATGCGCTACATCGGAAAGTTCACTGATGGCAAAGTCTTTGATTGTAAGTTGATACCCTTCAAATTTTCTTAGAACTCTCTAATATTTGAAATTTAGCAAACAAGAAGGGCAAGCCTTTCTCCTTCAAGCTCGGTGCCGGCGAGGTCATTAAGGGCTGGGACATCGGTGTCGCTGGTATGTCAGTCGGTGGAGAGCGAAGATTGACAATTCCAGCACACCTTGCATACGGCAGCAAGGGTGTCCCTGGTATCCCAGGTAACTCCACCTTGACTTTCGACGTCAAGCTCCTTGAGATCAAGTAAACGCCATCGTCATTTGTGTAAGGAAGTCTCAGTCGTTTCAGAAGTGTGTTTTTCAATGATTCGAGGCTGATGGTCAATTTCATATCTATTGTACAATTTTCTCTTTACTTTCATGTATCTCCTTGCTGTCTGCGATTTCATGATATTTTCATGATATGTCAATCAGCAATGTAAAGTTTTTGCATAAGTCTCCGACCTGAGCAGTTCTCTGTTTAGACAGGAAGCAGACTACGCAAAATGGGATGATGAGGTTTGCATAGCACTACAGGCGTATTTTCAAAAAGTTCGAATAGGTTTCAAACACAGGGGATTGTGCTTTAATCGGTTATCTCATAATAAACAAAAACTACTATACCAATGCAATATCGCCCTTTCCCAATGATATCTGATGGTGGTGCCTTCCCTTGTTGAGCAAAGAATCTACCCATGGGTAGGAGCCCTCAAAGCAAATGATAGATAAAAGTATTACTTCTCGTTCTTCTCATTCTTGTAACCTTCATCAGTATCAACATTCTTTGTCAATCATTTGTATGCTGTTTAGCAGTTCCATTCTTACATTTTAGCATCGATAATCATTATCTAACCCTTGAGAGGATCCTCGACAATGAAAAGAACTCGTACCGGTCCTGCACTCGATCTCAATGTAGTAGACCAAACTTGCCCGCCTCCTCAATTGGAGAAGCCTCTTTTTCTCGAATCCGTTACTCAATTGGACTCAGTATCTCCGCCAAATTCTCCCACGCATCATATTCATAGACCTTCGAAGTTTCGACGTCAAGGATCAAAGATTCTCTCGGTTTTACGTTCGTTGACTAACAACAGTAAGTGATTTCTTCTCTGTTTATCTTCCGTTTCTACCTTACCTATTCTAACCGTTGGTTGTGCAATGTCAGGCTCAAGTATAGCTCTAGAAGATGATTATGCACCGTTGTCACCTCCTCCCGAATCTGTCGCTCTAGGCAAGAAAATCTCCATGGCTTTACTTAAAGCTCCACCCACAATCGTTCATCGTACACAGTTCAAAAGCAGACCCAGTTTGATCTCTCTCGATAAAGGTGTTTTGGAATTCATGCCTGATGCTCCTACTCCTCCATCGAGTGCAGAATCTGCAAGCAATAGTGGAAAATCATCTGGCCCTGATGCTAAACAATCGACTCAAAAAACTTCTCTCGAATCAAAGTTCTCGCAAAAATCTGTGGGTGTTTCGCATCACTCTTCAGAGAACAAAAAGGTCATGTCGAAGAATATGAATCAAGCAGAGGTTAGTTCTGCTGAGGGAGTTCTGGCATCGATCACTGAAGGTGATAATGTTGAATGTCCACAGCCAGTTCCAAGTATGTTTCCCCTCTTGCTCTATAATATAGTTACGACTGACAATTCACAGCTGTGATCACCGTCGAAAAGGCAGCTTCTGCAAAAGTTTTCTTCGAAACTTATTACAATGAGGTTACTGCCAAAG